CACAGCAAAGAACCGTGACTCGCGTGACACAGACGCTCCTGTTGATACGTTCGGTGGTTTACGGAGCGACTGAACGAGGTCCATGCAGTCGACCACACGGCTTTACTTTTTCACCAGCTGGATAACATCTTCATCGTCCATCACATGGTCCTTGCCCACCTTCTGAGGGTTGTGTTTCACTGATGATCCCCACACCAGTGCACTGAAAGACAAAAACGTTGAAATGATTGTTCATACATTCATTCGATGCAGTGCACAGGATGCACGTTTAACTTTGAACCACCTTATAGCACCACAAAAAAAGAACGAGAGCTCATCGTGTATTAATCTGTACCTTAACCACACCAGAAAATTATCTGTACAGATGCCATTTCATTTATCCTGTATTTAATCATGAGTGCCCCATTGAGATAAAGGATCTCTCCATTAATCTTCCTTGGCTACAGCAACAATGGCTCTGCCAATAAAGAAACCGGCAGGGTACAATGACATCCTTTAGTTACAAAGGCTTTCTAATTGCGTGGGTCACCGTTTGACCCATTTATTCCCTGGAGGGTGGGTAATGCTCAGGAGCACTAACATAGCGAGATTGATGATCTTGGCTCTCTCGTTTAAAGAGGCTGGTGCAACACATCATCTCAGATTCTTATCCAGACTTGAATGAATGTAACCCGGTACCTCACTGTAAAGAGGGCGATGTGTGTGACTAAAGCGATTGTTTTACCACGTTTGTAAGAAATGATTGTCATGTGTGGAATAAAGCAATAATGTACGCATTTTTTTTGATGACTTTTTAAAAATACATTTCTCTAACTGAATAATAGCACAACCTGTTCGAATTAAAACAAAAAAGAATGGTAGAAAAACTAGTGCCTTGAACACATGATCAAATCTGGGCAGTACAAGAAAAAAATAAAAAGGGAAAATACTCACTACTTCAGTTCTTTGAGGAGGTTTTTGTGAATCTTCAAGCAGAAATCCTCGACAGCAGTGTGTCCGTCGGGGAGTACGACGGGAGAAGTGTAATCGGGAAGCTGACCTTTGGGTTTGGTGTAGCTGCAAGTGAACAGTCTCTGTCAAATACAGTCCATTGATCTGCACCATTGAAATCTCTTTTACCTCCATTCAGACTCCCTTGAGGTGACCGTGTAAACAACTCTTACATGCGAACAAGCCTCAGGTAGTCCCACATCCTCTCCAGCAGGTCGTCAAAGTTCCAGCGGTGGTGGGCGGAGATGGGTACACAGTGGGGCACCTTGTAGATGATGTCGAGCTCCTCGATGGAGATCTGATCGATCTTGTTGAGCACATAAATGCACGGGACGTACACCCTGTAGACAAAGGACCGTGAGTGGTTGCGGCCTATGAAATTCTTGCATGTCGAGCAGGTATTAATGTAGCCTATGAATTCACACCGTTATGACATCGGCTTTAACTAAAAGCTCAAATTTATCACTGAGAATGTTAAGCGGTCAGCTTTTTAATTAAAAGGATGTGCAAATCTTGGGGGCAGTCATTTATTTTTTCTACTTGTGTATTGATATTCTAGTGAGTCGGTGGTCGTTTTACTATTTTACAAAAAAAGTATACACTCCCTGTTGCTCGGGGTTTTCCCCTGCAGAGGCACAGAGAGCGCTTAAGCAGAAGAGACCCTGTGAATAATTTCATTTCAAATTGTAAGGAGGTTATGCGGTTGCAATGCAGAAACAACAGTCTAGGTGCCGTCCTCGTCCTATTTACAGCACAGACTACTCCCACACACGCTTCATCCCGCATTATCCATCTGCGTGAATTCATCACATTTGCTAGGTTTTTGTATCAAATCACCAGCAGCGATCATCCGTTGTTTTTTTAAGTAACAGAGGACATTGTGAAACCCACCTTTACACATTACACAACTACGTGCTGGAATTGTGTTTTGAACCCGTAAATAGCAGTGACATGTAACAGAAAATGATAGAGGTTGAGGATCCAAACTGGCCACACCCATCGAGAACGGCTACGGAAGGCACATTCTGGCACTTCAGCAGCTTACCGATTTCCCTCCACCACATCAATGAGGTCATCGGCTGTGGAGTCACTGCGCAGAGTGATGTCGGCGTTGTGGATCTTGTACTCTGCCAGAATACTCTTAACAGTTTCACCATCTAGCTCGGACTGTGCGCACTAAAGAGAAGGGATGAAAGGCATGATGACAATCAACAAAAGGCATTGAGACAGCCAAGTAATGCATCAAATGCCGTGTGATACATACTGTAGCTGTGAAGTTGATGCCTCCTTTGTCCTTCCTCTTAAAGCCAATGTTGGGTGGCTGCTTGTTAAGTCGAATCCCAAAGCCCTCTAGCTCATGTTCAATTAGCTTCTTATGACCAAGCGGCTTCAACACATCGAGCACGATCAGGATTAGGTTGCAAGTTCGAGCCACTAAAACAGGAGGAGACAGTGGTTTGAACAAAGTTAATGAAGGAATCAAAGTTTATGTAGTAGATGGATAATCTTTCTAAAGTTATATTTGAATTCTTTGCTGCAATCAGAGGCAAATAATTTAAAAAGGTGACACATATAATAAAACACCAATGCAAAATATTGATAGGCAAACAAGTGCACTTGTTTGGTCAATGAAAACTACAAGCAGAGGAACAATGATGACATCTTTACCTGCGATGACCTGTCTGCCTCTGCCCTTGCCATCCTTTGCTCCCTCAATGATTCCGGGGAGATCCAAAAGCTTAGAGGGAAGATGCAAGAAATCAAAATAGGCAAGCCAGTGCAAACACGGCACACTCTGTAAGGACTGGACAAGCAAGACGTAGTCGTACCTGAATTTTTGCCCCTTTGTAGCGAATAACTCCGGGTACCGTTGTGAGAGTGGTGAACTCGTAGGCAGCAACCTCAGAGTACACACCTGCAAGGTTACTTAGCAGGGTTGACTTTCCCACTGAAGGAAAACCGACAAAGCCGATTCGAGCGTCACCAGTTTTTGCAACATCAAAACCTGAAAGAGAAAAAAAAGCATTCAAAGCTTGTATCAACACTGTCTACGACGAGGCTTTGGAGAGGATAGAAAAGGATGACAGGTTTGTAGTTATACCTAGAAATGAGTAGGCTATAGGTTTTTAGAAATAGGCACCGTACCTTCTCCTGTTGCTGCACCAGCGCCTCCTTTTGGTGTGATGAGTTCCCTCCGCAGTTTGGCCAGACGAGCTTTGAGCAGACCCAAGTGGTGAGCTGTGGCCTTGTTCCTCTGCGTCCTGGCCATCTACCAGTAGCAAGAGTAACACAGCATGAGGTCTGATTTGTAGTAAACAGTGAGCATCAGCATTTCTTTTGGGTTTTTACTGTATACAGTCAGGTTGAACGGTACATTAGACAGCAAGAGAAAATCATCAGCTGGTGGTAAGATGTAGACACTAACATATATATTGTTTTGGTCCATCTATTGCTTTGGAAACGCATTAGAGAAATACCTTTTAAACAGGACTACTCACATGGAGCATGGAGAGGACAGTTGAGTTCATATGGAAACATAACTTGGTTAACAAAAAACCTCTTGCCTTAAACGTAAATATCTTAAAAACTCACAATCCTACCTGCATGTGTTCCAAGTTTAAAGTAACGTTAACTCGCAGAGGACGAAAAATAAACCAGAAATCACGGGCTTTTGATTTGCCTTCTTAACTTTGGCCAGACAACACATTACTTAAAACTTGCACCAGTCTGAAGTTCTTGTCGCGGCCTGTTTTCAAACCCCGTAAACAAACACCGATATCCTCCATACGTGGGGATGTGTTTCCCAAGTTAACGTTACGTGACATCTCTGGAATGAAACAGACTATCGCATCGGGGGAAAATGGTTTTCTCTCACGTAAATACATTTAAGTTCGCCAGGTTCGTCGGCTACGAGAAAGTGACTGCTGTGGATGGGGGATTTCAATACAACACCAAACTCGTAGCTAACGTTAACATAAATGTCAGCTGCTACCGCAGCTACGCTAAACACACTACGCGAACTCCCCCAGCGACTGATTAATACAACAGTTGCAAGTCGACTTTTCAATACAAACTGTAACCTGATAATAGAGGGTGGTCCATATATATTAAGGTGTATTGAGACGTGTCCCAGCAGCGGGAGCTAGGTGAATAATGCTAAGTTAGCTAACGTTCGTTCCTATCGTGAACGGCTAGCTAGCAGTTAGCTTGTGGCTAACTAAAACGTGACTGTCTCATTGGGTTAGCCAGCCGGCCTATCTTTCTTACCTCACTCTCGATCTCTGCTATCTTGGCAAGTATACTCATTTTGACGGCGAGTCTTCTGTACAACAGATCTCACAGAAACCAGTTGAAAAAATATTAAATGGAAGCGAGCAAAGTTAGATGTTGGTTTGCATCAGTTTAGCATGCACAGGTCCACACCACGCAAGCTGTGCGCAGCCTCGTGGGACATCTCGCGAGAATGTGACGTCGGCAGTGTGGCCCCCTTCGTTTAGTTCTTAACGAAGGAGACAAAATAGTGAGTTCCACACAATTGAAGCTGTCCACTCATCTTACATAGACAAGGGACAGTGTATTTTGGTGGCAGCCTATTTTAACTTTAACTCAAATATTATTTTCTAAACTTTAAACAGTGGCACATATTGTTCTTTCTACTGCATAGCACATTCTACAGATCACTTTTACGTTTTCCATTACATACCATAAAATTAGCCTACAAAATAAAATATGTCGTTTTGTGTCTTGAAGCTCCACATCACAGATTTCAGGTATTTGTGAGTCGTTAGACGTTCCATCAAATATAAGTATGACATCTTAAACCTATGGTTATACAAATACCTGTTAGAGCAGGGAATTAACGTTATATTGTTTCTGTCTTTCTATCATATTAAATATTTCCCTCAGAATTACTTTACGAGCCCATTGACTGGGAACCAGTGCAGTTAATTTAACTAACTTCTATTTAATATGAATTTTCAGACAATAAAAAAGGATGCAGTCCAGTCAAATTGCGTATTTTCCATGTTTAATTGTTTATTGTTTAAGTCGCATACAGTATAATCTCTCATTGGTTTCTATGTTGCTGAAGTTTGAGGACTGGACATCTGTCATTCTGTTGACCATCGGATTGACTTATTGGTTAGTAGCTGCGCTGGTTTGGTGCTGCGGATTCGATGGTCTCCTATGAATCTGAATGTCTAGACGGTGTATTGGTCACACGAGGGTTTTTCACACAGTTGACACACAGATAAGACGCGAGGCCATGGAGGGTACTTGCAATCAAATCTAAATATCTTAATTTGATGAACGTTGAAATGTCTAAACCTAATACATTCCAGCCACTGTAAGTAGATTCACTGGCTTTTAAATATTGCTCTTCCAGCTCAGTCATCCACCGCCTTTGTTGTAAAAAAATAACTGCAATCTGAAGAGTAATGCTATTTCCTAAATTGTCCTAATAAAGTTCAGGAAAGAAGCTAGACGACATTTAGTATCTTACACGAGTCCACAACGTATTAAACCATGTGCTAGATATGCTGAATCTGTCACATCACACATCTCCATTATTGTTTTTTTTAGCTGTGGGAGGTGTGCTTGTCCTCATCAAAACATATAAAAATAGGCATTTTCTTTTTAGAAGGTAGATACGGTTTCAGCGAGTTGTTGTTCAGCATCTGTTGTGGCTCAGCGGGAGGCGACAGCAAGCATAAATAGCACAGGAAGGAGGGACAGGAGGTGAGACAAAGCAAGACAAGGGGAATTTGGATAATTACTGAGTTCACTCAATACATTTCTGTAGACCTCTATAGGTCTTTTTTAATGCTTCTTTGTGAAAAATTAAAACGGGCTTTGACTTGATTCAACACTAGCCACAACTTGAGAATCGACAATAATAAATCCATGCCCAAACATCTCAAAGGTTCTTTATAACTTTTATAACGCATCTTTATATCATACGTCAGTCAGCATTGAAGTGCATTGATTAAAAAGTAAGTGCAAGTACAGATTTTGATGCATTCATTTTGACTAGAGGATTAAATTATTTGCAACGTCGCCCCAAAAATACTCATTCTACAGGGGCACTGCAAAAGAAAACCGCTATAGTTGATGCTGTTTCTAACCTAAAATATATATGCTCCCCCCCCCTTTCATTTCAAGCTTTCTTAAGTTATCTTTGAGTGACAGTGTGTGGGAGCAATTTCCATCCGCTGTCTGCTCTACATTCACTCCAGCCCATCAAACACAGCACTTCCCCCCCTAAAACACTGTCATGCTTCCTGACTGATTTCTCAGTGGTTTCATAGTTTGCTTTGAAGAATACGGCAACTGAATCAAGCCAGCAGTCTGTGAGAAGCACTATTTTAGTGCAATAGTTTCACACGTGGTGACCTTGCCCCCTGCGACTGGCTCTCTCTGCATAGAGATGGAGTGGAGTTCATATCGTGCCCCCATCGATAGGCCTTTGACTGAGGGAAGCGGCGTTATTTGTAGTTGTGTCACCAGAGCAAGGACAACGTCACCTTTTGAGGTAATAAAAAACAAACGACAGCATGAAGTTATCCATTAAAATGCGTTGTCCCCGGATCTTGGATTCTGTCATCAGAATTTGGATAATACTTATTGAAACCATAAGGCTTTACGATAAATGCGACTCGGCCATATGATGGCAAAAGTCTTGAGTGGAGGCGTTCTCCTTGGACTCTAGCTGCTCTCCGAGGAGGTGGGTGGTGCTGTGGAAGACGACCTCCGTCTGGATACTGACTGCGAGCGCTCAGGGCTGTGTTTGTCATAAGGCTGGAGCTGCACCTCCAGAAAGTCCCTGTGCTGCTGGCTGATGACCTGGCTGATGAGTCCCGGCAGAGCCTGCAAGTTACTCAGGAGAGTCTCCAGCTTTGTCTCCAGCAGGGCGATCCTCTTCTCCATGTCCTCGCCTCGCTCATTTAAGTCTGATATCATGTCATACATGATGTTCTGAGTCTGGAAGAGGAGAGAGGGAAAGCACTTTACATGATTATTTTCCAAATGGCTGTTTTTTAGTGTTGAACAACTTAAAAATACAGTATTTATCCATTATGAACAATTCAAAAAACTTAACTTAATAACTATACTATTTTAAGAGTTCATTCTGAGAAAGAGATGAAGTAGGAGAAAAGAGCTTTGCATTGAGAGATTCAATTGATCGCTGAAGAACAGCCATTACCAACTGTTTGGCAGGTGCATTTCGGTATGTGAAAAAAAGTGACCCTGTCCTATAATCTGAGCATCCATTAGAAAATCCAGCCAAACTGACACATCAAATTCTACACGTTAAATGCGTTTATTTTGCTGCTATCACAGAGTGCAGGTTATTTATCGTATTGGCTGCTATTTCCTACAAGAAGAGAGTAAATTCATCATCAGGGTCAGTCGAACATGTTGTGCTACAACTTTCCATGCAGGCCAGATTACATTAGCCGGTGACCTTGAAACAGCAAAGGTGCTTGCGGAGTTTGCATCATGCCTGCTCCTCCTTTGATCCATCCGCCATCTGCTCACGGACCTTTATATGTACGTATACTTTTAGCTGGTGCCTTTTAATGCCACAGGTTCAGCCTTCAAGAGAAGTTGGCAGCACCTAAAGAAATCCGGAGGAGGTGTGGCGGTGATGCTGCTGGAGGGCAGTTACTGAGGTATTATTCAGCACAGCTCTAATAATCCCTGGCAGCCTGGAAGCGAGGCCATCCATCACTTACCGTGTCCTCTTCTGATTTGAGGCAGAGATAACGGGGATAGCTGGTTCATTTGAATTAGCGAGAACTAAAGCAGCACTGACAACGCGGAACCTGACGGCTCGTGGAGACTTGGGCTTCACTGTTATTACTTAAACAAACACTAATCTAATCCTTTACTTGTTGTCATGCCTCAGCGGCTCATAAATGCAATTCAACATTTAAACAGCTCATGTCAGGATAACCAAATATTGAAACTTGTTTGATGTATTATCTTTCTAAGATATTGATTGCATGCGGAGCATCTGTAGATTGTAAAATGTAACAAAAAAAAACATGAAGAAGTGATGGTGTGAAATGCTATATAGATGAAAAGTGGCCTATTCCCCCCCAGGGGAAACAATCCCATCAATAGAGGAGGAAAGTGTTGCACAATAATATAGGCCGATGCATTTGAACTGCATAGTAAAACCACAAACTTACAACATCCGCCCATTTCTGGACAAGAGAATGCGAGAAAAAGAAAGATGGGAGCGGCAGAGATCGTGTCAAACTGCAGCTTGATTAAGCAGTTTAGCTGTTTGAGAACATTTTATTCAGCAAAGTGGAGAAAAAACGCTGGGGAGAGAAAAAAGCAATTCCCCCTAACAGTGCGTCACTTGAGACAGATAAAACGAAGGGCCACGTTCTGTACCAGACCGTGGGATAGATAACGAGTTAAGGGGACACGTTGCGTTCAGGGGGATCTCGCGTTGCACTGCAGTGGCCACGCAGCCGCCAGCAATCCGATGAGCTCGGTTTAGCTCCATCTTTCCACTGAGGGCGCCGAAGACTTGAGGCTACTCTGCCCTCTCATGGCAACGGACTCTTACAGCAGCGATTACACAGACAGCCGAGCGGCCTGGCTCTGAGCCGCCTTGTGTCCAACGTCCCATCCCCACCCATCGCTGCCGTTTTACAGCACCCCGTGCTTGGGAAGTATTACCTAGGCTAATACCTTTATATGAGACATTGGCCCGCATCCAGTTTGACTGTGCCGTGCGTTCGAATGTCAAAGCGTTCGGCCTTTCTGTCCTTTCTGCCTTTACTTCTGGCTGAATCATCAGATCACAGAGTGTCTCCCTTTCCCAGGTTACTGTTTCTGCAGTGTCAGGCTGGCAAGCTGCCTGGTCTTTCCCTGAGGTTGGTCGGCTTCTGTTTGGTGCATCTGGAGGCAACCGATCAGATAATACAAAATGAGGGGTTTCTTGTCACTCTCATTTAGTAATTTTTGCAGAGAAAGTGTCCTGGGGATCGCAATTAACGCTGTGAAATGAAATGAAGTTATTATTTCCAACCCAAATCAGAATCTCAGGTGAGTGCAGACAACCTGAAACATCACACAGATGTATTTGTAATCCCCCTGTCTGTTTATTTGACACCTGTAGACTTTGATTATATCAGAAAAAACAACTAATTCGGCAGTGAACTACATATTACATGGAATTGAAATCACACAAAGGGAAAGAAACGTATGAGCTGCGTGTCCTAATGAACAATGCAGCGGTAGACTGTAAGTCTAGCTTACCTTAGCAAGGTCCACTAGTGAGTTTGCTTGGTCATTCAGCTTGCGTTGCTCCATTTTAACACTTCTCAATCTGAACACAAGACCATTCAGAACCCAATAAATTAACGCTATCAGAATGTTGTCATTAGATTTGTGTACACACGGGGCATACACACGGGGAACACTCCCGGGACATGCACAGGGTGTGTGTGTAGAGAATGCAGGGGGTCAGTCCGTTTGGTTGAGCTGCATGCACGTGTAGAGGAGACCCCAGCGGGTGGGAGAGCCGCCACTGAGGAGACCGAGACCAGCTCGCCGTCCAACCCAACCACTACGTCAACGATAATAAAGGAACAAGGCAGACTCATAGACCTTCAGGTCCTTCGGCTTCTTCACGCGTCAGATTGTACATCTGGGTCACTCGCAAAGCCACACACATCAAACAGTTGTGTGAACATTAGAGAATAAAGCTTCCGCTTTTTGAAGGCAGCCATCTGAGCACATGTGAGTCATCTTCCTTTAGAGCGTCTCAATAGAAAATCAAACACGACTTCAAACGGATTCATTTTTCCCATCGACAGAAAACATATGGCTGGCTTTTTTTTATTTTTATTAATTAATCCTACTTGTAAAGTCTGTGAAAAATAGCGTGCCTTCTTTATACAACGTTCTTAAATAATTCACATCTCCTGTTTAATTAGGCTTCTAAAGCCTGTTTTACTCATCGTCCCTGGGGGCTCAAAAACAGCAACTAAGCAGTATTGTAGAGTGTCGACCACACGTGGTTCCCAGATATTAAAGAGGGTTTTTTTTTTACGGGATCACCCACGCATGCTAAATTAAACTCGGCACAATGCACAGAATAGCATCTCGTTGGCAAGTTTTAAAACGTTTCGGCTTTGAAAAATAAATAAAAAACACCTATAACTGACTAAGACATGGGCGCAATTTGAGGTGATTGGAAGGTTCAGCGTGAATCGAGGGGCAACAATAATGAAGATAGTGAAGCGATTAAAGGGGCCCTTGTGGGGGGGTCTGATCATTAGCTGAGATGCACTCATTCTCATGCAATGTTGGATCATTTCTCAGTTTCCTGAAGACAGGCAGATGTGGAGTGAAGATGACAGGTTGGACCAACAGAGGGTGCCACGGGAGTCACTTAAAGAACCAGCAGGCAGCGGACGGCGTCCTGACAACCGAAATGCTCCAGTCAAAGAAGGCTCTGTATACCGCAACTATTGCACTTTTATTATTGATATATTAAAATAAAATGAATAATACAATAAAACAAAGACGAGGGCATCTAAAATTGATGGAAGGTTTTCGGTATTTATGTTAAATGACAGTTGAAGTTGATGTAAGGACCTTAGAAATTACACATTTCACAGTTGGATGACTAATAGCTTTGATTTGGGGTCAAAGGACTCTGCAGCTTAAGGTCAGGACAAGGAGGCTCATGTGTCTCCTCCTGCTTCTCCTTCCCTCAGACAACCACTCCTCGTGGGCATTTCTCCTCTTCGATGGCCACTCTAAATCTGCTTGCTATTCATCACTAGAAAACGAGTACGCAAAGCTTTTTAATACCCCACTAAATCAGTTAAGGCAATCTCGGTTAGTGCTGCACCATATTTTTTACCCTCTCGACTTGCTTTCTTTGTCATGACCTCCCTTTACCTCATTGTGGAACCAAATGGTAATTTCTCTTCAGCGTAATGGGAAGGGTGACCATTCTGCGGCCTGTCATTTTTTTTCCCCCCCTGTCGCCGCTGAGAGCCTCTTGCCGTTGGTCACAATCGCAGCCTCCGGGGCTCAAACGGGATTGCTGGCGGGCTTCGCCCTGACCTTCCTCCCGGGTCACTTTCCTGCGCCTCCAATCCTCTCATCTCTAACGCTAACCAGCACTGACTGCCCTGCCTCATGGGACGACTCCCGACCTTGTAGATGGAAAGAGACAGGTCCCGGGTGGGAGGCGGGAGGGGAGGGGTGGGGGGGGGCTGTAATGGCCTGAAACAAATCACGCAGCAAGACGTTTGGTTGCATGCGTGCAACATCATACCTGTGGTGTGATAGGCCAAAAAACCCTCAGGGGTGACTGCGTACACAGTTAGCTCTGCCAATTCCTCTTGTAGTGCAGAGATGCACGACGGCTGTATATCCGTGTTATTATGCCGTTTACCGGCCATGATAACACCACTTCAGAGTCTTTACTACCGCGTCATCCAACACAGAAAAATGGTGTAAATGTGGCCGCAAAAAGTAGCAACAGGCGTAACAATGGTTCCACACGCCGAAAGATGACCCTGAGCTCTAATCCGTGTGAACGTGACTGCTAGGTTGTGACTTGAGGCAAACGGATCTCCAGTCGTCATCCTTCGGTATGTGAAAGCACTGCTGATTGCAGTTTAATCAGAGGCTTTCTGATTAAAGATCAAATTCTCATCACATCCATGCAGAAATGGAAAGAAAAACACCCTCCATCACCGATAATTGAAATTCACTTAATAATCATTCGCGGATGTGTTCAGAAAGTTAAAAAAAGAGACATAAAAAGGTGCTATTGCTGATTGTCTAAAGCTTTCTTGGCAAAATACAGAGGATTGAATGAAAAAATGTGAGACTAATATATATTTCATAGAATTGACATATTGTCAAACAGACATCTAACAAAAACCTTTGTCGCAGCTGGAAAGAAATAATTTGGCAACATTATGATTTGTGTCGCGTGAAACCATTCAATCACTGCAAACTACCACATTTTCCATGGCATGAATTTCACTTATCAAATGAGGGAGTGTAATTTTTTTTAGTCACATTATTGGGTTCAAGGACAAGCTCTCTTTAGCATGCACACAACAGGTCTGTATCTACGTGTGAGGCGAAGACTTACTTTCGAGCTCTATTGCATTGTGTCGATACAAACAGGAAAAAAAGGAAACATGAAGTAGACAAAAATGAATTATTACAACATCAGATAAACATATTCAGACGGCAAAATCTGTTGGCTGAACTCTTGCTCGTGGAACCCTCATCTCTACGCGATGACATCACCTCCGGGCAGCAGCAACTCTTTTCTTCCGGTGTTTAGGTTTGCGCTATAGCTGCAGATTATTCTGAACCCTTTTCTTCCACACAAGTCCTGGCTATCAGAAATCAAGTAAATCAAAACAAACTCCCTGTGAACGTCCACCAACGCAGACAGGGCTTTCAAAGTGTTCACACCTCACATCCTTTACAGTGATTGAGAGTTTTTCACAGCTTCACCAGGAAGAAACGGGAACACTGGCGTTTGCTTTGATGTTTGCTATCGCCCCATGTGACGGGGTCAGGGATGGCTGAAGGACTTTTCCAACTCTCCACTTGAGCGACCGGCTCGCTACCTGACCGCCTCCTGTCCTACTATTCATCTTCATCTAACCTGCAAACAATACTTGAAAGCCTTAAAGGCCTGCGAGCACACTGCCGTTACAAGGTAAAAGAAAACAGAGGAAAAAGGTGCGACGGCAGGATGTTGGCACAATGAGTAGTCGTCCTTGCACACGGAGGTGGACGTGACTCTGGTTCTCTATGGATTTACTCCAGACGCGTTTCCTGCATAAGGCTTTCCGAGTGAGTGAACAGGAGGTGAACATGAGCCGCTGTCATCACTGCTGCAAATCGGATGAAGAACGAGACTGCGAGGACATAATGACTCGACAAAGCAACCGTGGCACAAAAATCTGGATTTGGGTTGCAGCAGCAGCAGCAGCAGCAGCTGGTGTGTTTCGCTATCTCTACAATCTTGGTTAAAAAAAAAGACATCCAAATGTCTTTGATACATGCATAAGATTAATGAGCAAATCAAAGTTGCGCTCCACAAAAGACATAAACCCACAGAAAGCAAACAAACATACAAATAGGGGGCATTTTACCTGAGCATAACGCTACAAAAGCAACAACCTGGATTTGCTCGTAAGCACTCCAGGTTGAAGAAAAACCAAGAGGGAGGTGAGGCTAAAATCAATACTGTTAGATAGCACTTCGGGAGTCCTTGGAGACGCACTAAAAGACTAGCTGACAGTTCAGTGTCCGACCAACAGCAAGAAAAAAAAACAAGTGTCAGCCTGACTTCTGATTTACAGCCAACCAAACACACGAGAGTCAAACGGACAACGAAAGGTGAGCGAGAGAGAGAGAGAGAGAGAGAGAGATCAATATCATACCGCTGTGAATTCTGTAATTTCAGAAGCATCCGTCAAGTTTCTCCAAATCTCACGCAGAGGAAAATGCCAGTTGACAATTCCTTTGATATGAATCACTTAAAAGGGCCTCTAGTGTAACAGTGAATACCATTACACCGTATGATGCAGAATGAACAGACCGACTTATTATCATATCTGCAAATTTAAAGTTAGTCCAGTCAGGTTAAACAAGTACAAGATTACTCAACAATACAAACACGTATTTTTGCTACAGGTGTCAAACAAGTCAGATTTCAGGTTGGTGTTGCATCGGCAAATCAAGTGACTATTCTGCGGGATGAAAGACATTAGAGCGGCACGAGGTCAGGGGTCAAGAGCGGGGTACCTACTGGTGAATGGCTTGGAGAAATTTCCTCTGGTGCTTCCTGACTCTGGCGTGGTCCATCTTTCTCACCAGTTTGGTGTTCTTATAGATGAGCCACGTCTCCCTGAGAACATTCGCAGCTGTGTTTTTCACCTGCAGGCCAAGGAGAGAAGGGTGGCATTTAAATTAAACAATGAAATATCTGTGATGCCTAAACCAAATATGGGAGCTTTCACTTACTCTTTTTGTTAGCTGGGTGTCCATCATAAAATTGTGGACATGTTTTTCAGCTTTGGTTAACTCCAGTTTCTTTGCCACTACAGCCACCACCAAGGCAGTGCAGCCAGCCCCCTGGGAAATAACACCAATAACAACAAGCACAACAATCAAACTTACTGTTTTATTGTTGAGTAAAAAATGTTAAGGCTTCCTGTTGATATCAGCCTGCCTTTCTCACCATAATCCCAGTCAGGAGACAGACTCCTTTCCCACAGTATGTGTTTGGGACCATATCCCCATATCCAATGGTCAGAAATGTGATTGAGATCAACCACATGGCTCCTAGAAAGTTGCTGGTTATGTCCTGGTTGTCATGGTACCTGTAATAAATGATAAATAGGTTGACTGACCTTCATGCACCCGATGCACTCCAGCTTCACCTAACCACTGTTAGTAATTTTGAAAAAATAAAACAAATCCATTATAGTACTTTAATAATAATTAATTATGAATTATAATAAAAGAGTAAACATGTCTTAATACTGCAGGAATTTAATCTTTATTTGTAACCTTTCTATCCTGAAGTTCAGACCCAGAGCGAGCGAGGAATTGTGTACATTTTCTATTTTTATGCCTTATCTATGTTTCATGCTGAGCAGCGCTGCATAGCGTGAGAAACGGATCCAGGCACCTCTCACAAGCTCTCACAGTCCATGCGGCGATGATCCACAACGAGATGGTGAAGACCAGCAGCACGGTGCCGGGACAGATGGTCATGAGGGTCTTCATCACAAAGCGTGTGTTAAAGTTAATCTTGTTGAGTGCACCGATGCTGCGCGACGAGGCGTCCGTGAAGAGCTTGCTGTGCAGCAGCATGACGCGAGCGATGAGGTACAGCCGCAGGAACATGGGGATGGACAGGATGATGTCCACGTCCGCATCCGTCTTGGAGGGCACGTAGGAGTAGGCCAAGCGGGCCGTCCAGGTGAAGGTGTAGTTCCCGGGGATGGGGTGTATGGCGCACACCAGGATCTCCAGGCAGATGAAGAAGATGCGCTCATATGTCATGGCTATCCTCCAGTCATCGGCTGCGTTGTCCACCATGAATAACTGCAAGGAAAGGGAACAGTGAGGCCGATGGACGGTAACATTTTCCATCATGGTGACACAGCAAGCTGGAGGAAATCATTAAACCCCATTAAATAATAAGCCACAAACAGCCTTGAGCCATTAAATCATGTTTTTTAGTCACATTTCCTGAAGACCCTAGTAGTTAATTTCCCCCCATGTTGCCTATTTAAAACAAATGATACAACATTATCTTAACCATCTTTATAAATGTAAAATCTACTCTGCTTCAAAAAATATTAGAATATAATGAATAAGGAATATGATAAAGCGAGGATGCTACACTCTTTCAAAGGCATAGATATGCACGGAGACCTGATGAGGGTTGCAAGAATGAATATCACAACTTAGATTTTCTGAATTTATGTACACAATACAAGGAAAAACATTGTGCTTTATACATGTTTAGGGCTAATTTGTTGCTATTAATTCATGTATGATCTAAAAATTCCTATGTTGAGCAATCTCGAGGATTGTTTCCATATAAAGAGTGAAATGGAGGAAATACAACGGCTGTATGAAGGTAGGAAGTTAGAGCTGAAACGATTAGTCAATTTCTACAAAGAATATTTAGCGGAAGACTTGCCAGCTTGTGAAATGAGAGGATTTGACACAAATCCCTGTAACGTGAAAATCTTTGGGTACATGTGACTTACAAAATATTTGGAGAAATCTCATTGAGCTCCGACATCTATCAGATCTAAAACTCAATCTGTGATGTGCAGTAAGAAAGGAAAAGAATCGCACAGTTTCTCTCTCTGCCTTCAGGCTCCTTGGATGAAAGTGTTACATTAGCAGCTTCCCTCCTCGACTGCAAAGCGTTACGCTGATGAGAACATCTGCCGTCTCCACATTAGCTTCTGATCGCCTGGCCACCTCGACCAGAAGGTAGGCCGTTCCGCGTGGGGGGGTGGGGGTGGAGGATTTCAACAGCCCTCATCACTCTTCTCCACCCTGTCCTTCGCCTTTAGCTCCGTCACTTGGTCACCTCTGCTGCTCCCGCCTCTGCTTCGTCCCCTCCCTCTTCCTCAACGCTTTTCAATCCAATCTGCAGTTATCTCTGGCCAGAAGATTCACTGCTGTGCGTGTGTTCACCTGCAACTGATGGCCGAGCCGGCGACCGCCGTCGATACCCGGTCATTTTATATTTGCAGGTACGGGTAGCAGATTAAATGCTCATCAGATTGTATTCACGTCCCCAAATTTCTCAAATCATTCCTCTTTTTTTCCCCGTTTACAAGCGATACTGAAATTTCCCTCACAGCTCTCCTTGCTCCATCCACTCTATCACCTGGAGGCGCTCCGCTGGCGTACAGCTCGTCACAACTGGCGATAGATATTTCACAAAACGTTGCTGTCAGCAAATAAAAAGCGAGGTTTCCTGGCGGCAGTCTTTGCCACGAGAGCAGGAGCCTCTATAGGGAAAAAACTGCACATGATTACATTTAGTCGGACACGTCCTTAATATGCTTAGTAATCAAGTCATTTTCTGGATAAAAAATGTAAGCAATGTTTTTGCTTATGGATGAGGCCGGTTTGTCTTTCCCTTCTGCTCCACTTTAATATTCAAAGTCTACAGTTTCCAGTGACTTCCTTTCACCCAACTAAGATTTATGATGGTTAAAATGCATGTTTCAACTCTGTCATATTTTATATTCAGTTCCATCCTCTTTCAGCAGCCTTTACAGTAAAACCATCTCTTTGCTTCATGTGGATCATAAAGGTCTGTTTTCCCGCATGCAGAGAACAACAATCACGTCTCTGCAGCAGGACTTTTTTCCTCCCCTTAACAACCAGAACGCACATAAAAAGGCAATAACGTAGCACTGCCGCTACTCTCGCAGACATACATGAATGCTCCACGTCCTCCAGCTCGACAGCTTCGGAGGCCCTCTGACACTCAGCAGCCGGCTTTGCTCCAACACAAAAACCTCCACTTAAGACGCTGGGTTTAATACAGCGTCTGATCCAATTAAATGTCCAAAGGCCGCTGTGCAAGAAATATCAACTGTCAACAAGCCGGCACATTACGACACAAACGAAACAGGCTGCTGCCAACACGAGTCTGCACACAAAACAGGTCAAGTGACCCACCAGGCCTCTGCAGCTCATTTGCATTCATTTAATGGCGACAGTCAAAGTTTCCCCTCCAAACGCAGAAAACGCAACAAATTCGATTTTCAGAGGCAGCTGTTCATATCGAATGAGCAACGCTCTTTTCACAAACTGACATCTGTCTGAGAAGTAACTCTAGCTCGCTTCGCAAGTGACTGTAATGAAGACACGGAAACACAAGCCGGGACTCTGCTGCGGTTTCTTACTTAAAGAATTAGAGCCCTGAGAGGAGCTAAATCAATTGTTTGTACACAGCGCAAGCAGCGTTTTATTTTACATTTTAGACAACAAACCGAGCCCGTCAAAGGCAGTTACAAAGTTTGTTACCTCAAAACAATTTAATTAAACATTTACACGCAGGTTGCATAGGAAAGCAATTATGCTAATGGTCGAGCTGAAATACAACACTCATGGGTCCTTTACCTCACGGCATCAAATATTCCACGCAAGCAGCCGAACCAACAGTTATGACAGAGCAGTGGAGGAAACAGTTTTAAATCATGTGAAAATATAATACGGAGGATTCTGAGGGCCTGAAGGACAGTGACGGAAACGGGACACTGAATTAGTTAGAGGAGGCTGACAAATAATTTACACAAAGCAAGTAAATGGATTTTGAATGTGAACGCACTTAAATACAGTTCAAATATGTCCTTAAAGAATTAAAGCAATGAAGACTGCAGTCTGGCCATCACCAATGTGACACATGCATTTTAAAGCATCGCAACCCCAAAACTGTTAACTGCGACCCCTCGAAAACAACTGTGACACACAACTTTGCCAACAAGAGGAGAAAATGAAGAAGGAAAAACTGTTCTTTAAAGTGGGAATATTCCTAAACAAATACTATCTGCTTAATCAGTCACTTTCAAGGTTAACCTTATGAATATTAAATTACATTTTAATGCTGATCCAGATACTTAAAGGACCAGTTCACCCAAAACAACAAGAAAAACCGCCAACGAAACATTTCTATAACCACTTGATCTCCCTTATTTTGTGACAGCATTCTGTCAATGAATACATGAACGTCCGCTACAATAAAAAGGTTAACATCTTACAACTCGTCTGCTGGTCACGGAGCAGGTTGAGAGAGTCGTGCGTCGCCAGAAGCATCTCCACATTGCTGCGTCAGCACTAAGGAAAGCTCTGGCTGCACGCGTTATCCATCGGCTAGAATAAAACCCGCTGTGGCTCGTTGGTATTCGAAGGTTATTCGACTTAATCCTGATATTTTTAACATTTCACTTGCAACAATGGATTTTAACGTCATAGTACATCACCAAATTTGGTTATAGGCTTCACCCTCTCGCGCACAAGGTTTCCGGACCAAAGTGGAGGACTGATGTACAGACCAATTATTTAAGCCAATGAAAAAGATCAACGTAAACATTTCATTGCAGAAACGACGTTGCTCACACCAAAAAACAGAGTGAATAATAAATCACAACCAATCAAAGCTTTCTGCATACTGAGATACCTTCATAAAAAAGGAAACAATGGACGTTTCCTTTTTAATTTTCTTTATGTAACTAACCTAAAGCCCGGCCCAAATGTCATGTCTTCCCCCAAAAGTGGGCATCCTCACAGTGACAATAAAGTCACACATTCGTGAGAATGATTAGAGGGGAGATCCAGCAGTTTTCTGAAGGACGCCGTGCACAGTGTAATCAGTAAGAGTGCGCGCCCCCTTTCTCATCATGGGGAAGTTTCATTCATGTCGGGTCAAGAGACAATACAGCCGAATATGTCCTTGGATCATTCTCCGCCTGTCGCCGCCCTGCGTCTGCACTGCGTAGTCTCGGGGGAGTTCACCTGTGATGCTAAGCTGGGTTGGTTACTGGTTCCACGACGCTCAATATAACTAATGGAGTCCGGCTCAATATTTAATCTGTGTAATGTGGAGATGGGACCATATATCTTGTCGTTGAGGATGAAATCGCTCAATCTCATTAGTGAATGAGTTTGAGGCATTCTGTCCGATTAGACATTAATGCAATGCTTTATTTATGATATCAAAGTGAGCCACTAAAAGGCCACTTTGCTGAGTAAATCCGAAGCCGCTGCTGATTTGCTTTTGTTTCTGGAATTACGGAAAGGCTCACATTTGCATACGAGTTCTTCTATGCAAGCAAAGTAAAGCCACTCTGAGCCAAAGTAAGAGCTTGTACAAATCCTACTTTCTTTAGCCGATGCGGCCCAACGCAATAATCGCCTAAAAAGCATCTTCGCGTTTGAAGTCGCATGCAGAACAAAACTTAATTTGGAGGTTTCTCAACTCATTGGGACCCCGAGCGTCTCTTGCCCTCGGACGCTGGTGTTGTTGGGTGAAAACATTGAGGTCACCAGCTAGAGGTGGTTATCCGACTCCAGTCTGGAGTCTCAGGTGGAGGACAGATTTAGCTGTGAGAACTGCAGAGTGTCTCCTGCAGTCAGACCATATCTCTGACACAGACACACCACCCAGGGCCAGTCTGACAGGCATCGCCCAGTTCCACTTCCCTGGCAGGATCTCGGCGCCGTTGACGTTTTATCTTTTGCGAGGATTGTAAAATGTAATAATGTGCAATTGTGAAACACAAGCGCCGCCTTTCATCACAAACAATCCACACCAAAGACAGAAAATACCCAGAAGCATCTCGCATTAGTTGAAGAAAACTCAGCCGAGCCGTCATCACAAGGTGCAGCGACGCGGCGACGGCCGTAACACAAATGCCCGTCAGCAGGGAGCCTTTGATGTGAGAAGAAGAAAAAAAAACATCCAAGATGTCAGCTTCTGTACTATTGGGAATTATGTGAACTCATCAACCACCTCTGCAGCGATAGCAGGAATAGGCTCGCAGCTCGTATCAGACTTTGAGAAGGACTAATCAAAGTCATGGAGCACCGACAGACTCTAACCTCCATTTCCACTCACATCGTACAGTAAGTCGCTGCCTGCCAACGCAGCAAACTCAACTAAAAAGTCTAAAAAAAGTCCCCCGGCGAATAGCCAGCGGTTTAAGAAAAAAAACTTGTGGCTGAATCAGGCTGATAACGTTTGAAGGAGAAGTACAGAATAATTCTGCACAACATCAGTGTTTATAAAAAAGGATTAAACACAAACTTATGCTGATTGTACCCTATAAAAATGAGAGAGGCACATCTTTACTGAGTCAGATTACTTTTAAATAATTAGAAGTGGAGAGAAAGTATTTCATCATCCTTCTATAAAACAAAAGTTAAGGTGCATCACATCATGCTGAATCAGTTGATTGTGTGATGGTGATAATGCCACATATGGAGTCAATTAGCATCTCTCATTTTAAAAGGTCCATTGTTTAGTTCACTATTCACCCCTACTCTCATCCCAGCATGAGGCGAGCTCAACACGCGAATACACAACCAAATAGTCAGCGGACAAGTTGCGTTGTGGATAATTTAGGTGCCATAGTTTGACAAAGAAGTCGAATGTGTGGAATAACAAACGTTGTTTCTGGCTCTTTCTATATTCTCTCATATTCAGTCCATAGTGAGTCTGACAGTGCTGAATGATGGAGGGGGCTTTAAGTGTATCTTACACACTATAGTGGGGAGGGTGCGTTTTGAAAGACGTGGCTTTGCACAAGCTATGCTTTTAACCTGGCGGGGTGTACAAACAAAATAGACCTGAGCCAACACACGTCAACACATATGAAGTCAAATCATATTTTTATCAAATAAAAAAGGAAAGGAGCAGCTGGTGTGCTGGAAGTCGAAGCAAACCCCATGAACTGGATTTAAATCGGTTACTAGGAGCTGGTTCAGGCTTTTACATCTGAATAGGAAAGGCAAACAATTGCCTTAATCTGCAAAAAATAAACACTTTATTGGAAGGAGAAGCGTTAGTGGTGAAAAATGATTTAGACATTGACGGGACTGTCAGAGAAGTCTGCTTTAAAGCAGTTTGAAACGGCCTGCGTGTGGGGTAAATGTGCACGCAAGGAAGTATTGTTTTAAAATGAGAAACTTTGGCTTGCCTGTAGAGAAAGAAAGAATATTGGTCCACTGCCATTGTTGCGTGAAATATCGAGGCTTCGAGCTTTTTGAAAACTGCGATTGTCATCATATTTACCCATCCAGATGTGCTGCTGCACTGAAAAAGTTAAAATTTTCACACAATCCAAGTGCTTCAACATTGAACGGAGGCCATGAACGTAAATATTGCGCCGACGCAGCCACCAGATGAACGCGGCTGCTAATGAAAAATGCACTTTTGAAGGACAACTAAATCAATATATTATTTAACATCAAGACAATCAAGAGGCTAAAAAGATCAGTTTATGAATTGAATAATTTACACAGGATTAAGTAAAAGGTGTGGAACAATGAACATGATACTCACGTTAACTTACAAGATGCTTTCTAATTTATAAAGAGCGACTTGGAACTGTCCACCAGGGAAATGGAAACATCTCGTTACACATCGAAATATGGTAATTCTGTGTGTGCATTGCTACCATCCCTCAAGTGGAAAGGTTTACGATGAGGCATCTGGAGGGGGCAAATCTTTTTACTGTCGGGCCGCTTCAATGACTGATACTCCCCCGGGACTCGTAAGAACTAAATACGGGAAGGCAGATGAATAGCCGATATTACTTTGAATGCAAAAGCTATACCTCATGTTTTGTCCCGATGTAATATTTGGTAAATCTGCTAAAACATATTCTAAGAATAAGAGCAGAGGAAAACAACTGCATTAGCTCAAACCATTCTGTTAAAGGCAGTGAAAAAAAATCCCCATAGCCAGATGTCAAACATTAACATGATAAAAGATAATGATATATAAGATTTGATGCGAGTTTTGCCTCTTTTCAAGTGAAGTCTCCTCTAGTAGGCTTTTATGGAAAAAGGAAAGTAGCTCATGAATGAAAGCGTCCTGGTAAACATACGCCCATGCAGGAAGGCAGAAAGCGGCTTATTTCATTTTGAGGCTGTACAACAAAGAGCAGTGAGAACTGTAATATCACCATGAGGCAAGACTCAGAACATACTATAGTACTACTATATAGTAATACTATAGATATATATGCATCCACTGAGCCCTGTGAGGAGTTTGTAAATGTTATTGAAATGTGTAATGAACTTATAAAAAGGTTACTATCAGTCTGAAGTCATGTAATCGAAAGGACTGATGCTCTGTCATTAAAAACCTCGAATCATTGAATAAACGCAAAACATCTTTGGAATGACGGACGCTGTGATGAAGAGTAAATATTCTATTGAGTATTTACACTATACTGAACTGTTTGAAACTCAAATGAACTAAATTTGAAACACACTCAGTTGCTTTAACAATAAGTTATTTCACATGGTAGATATTGTGCAGTCAGTTAATCTCTTTTTCTAATGTTAAAATAGAAAAATATTATGCGAAAACAAAGTATACAAACAGTGGCACCCTATAAAGTTGTAAAGATTTGTTAATTCAATATTCGATTGAGCGCTTGTTAAATGCAACGTCTGTTGTTAAAGCAGACCACCGCTGACCCTTCAACACCAACAGTTAAAAGAATAAGAAAAGTGTTACAACGTTACCTGGATCTCTCTTGCATGGTATATGATAATCAGGCCCAGGAGAATGATTGTAGAAAGGCTTATCAGGCATTTTAGCGCTAATGAATACAGCGACTCCTGGAAGAGAGCAACAACACTAAAGCCAAACAACCCACAACATCACGACAGGAAATCACATTCTGATGTACACCAGCCCGTAGTTTAGCCTACATGTCACACATCTGGAAAACAAACGGTAATTCAGCTTCTTAACGTGTAACTGACACATGTGATGTTATTTTGTACTATAGGTGGTTGCAGAGCAGTGGGCCTTTTGGCCTGCATGTGACAGTGGCGACATCAGGGGACACTTTGCAGTGAGCCTGGACTTATTCAAAGTGACGGCCTTTTCTACAACACCTTGGGCAGAAGTTTTCCAACGACTCGCTCCGTGAGTCACACGTATATACGTACCTTTCCATAAGCTCCCCAAGAGAGTTCAGTCTCTATAACCATGACAACGATCCCAAACATCCCGAAGATTAAAGCATAGTCGCTGAGCCGCTTCCGTTTCTCAAACAAGGCCCTCCTGTGTCCCAGCTTCTCCCCGATGTTCTGGTTCTTCTTTTTCCCCGATTTGCCGCCGCCGCTGTGGCCGCAGCCGCCCGCTCCGTCTCCCGATGCGTAAGGCATCAGCGTGGTGGAATTATTCTCCGGCTTGGATACCAAAGTGTCCGACGCATCCGCGGCCGAGACGGGCTGCAGAGGCTGCGACTCGGAATCGAACTCGTGCACGTTTCTGCGGGACGAGCTCAAGTTGCTCAGCGGCCGCATCACGCCGCCGTTGTATCTGCAGCTGCTCATTGCTATTTCATTGTAGGAGTTACTGTCTTTGTGGCCGCTGCCCAGGCTGCCCCGCTGCCGATCGCGGCAATGCTGCTGCTGCTGCTGCTGCTGAGGGTGAGGAGGAGGTGGAGGAGGAGGATGATGCCTGGATGAACTACCATGACTGGAGGGTGTGAACTCGCAGACGCTGTACTGGCAACCTTGCCTCGAAGACGTTTCCGAAGGTGTCCTCAAAGTTCCCGCGGCAGCGGTCGGCGACGTCCCGCGAAAGATGAGGCTTTTTCTCGCATCACAGGTGCAGCTATTGCAGGTGCAGCGTTGGTCGTGCTTCTTGCCGATCTTGTCCTCCCGCCCGCAGTAGTGCTGGTACTTACAGTGCTGGAACTGCTGCTCTGGAAAGAAATCGTTCTGCAGCTGCAATGGGGTTTCCATGTCATCAGTGCGGCCGTGTAGAGCAGCGGTCGGGTACCACCGAGCACCCGACGAAGGGCGTTCTGGTACTTACGGGAGGACAGAACCGCTGCATGAATGGACCCATTTCGGCTCCGGTAGAATGTCAGCGCAGGCTCCGATTGGGCAGGGGGCGTGTGGGGGGAGGGGAGGGGACGGGGTACCAAAACAACTGCCTCGACGTCATAAAAAGGTTGCAACCATGAGACGTTAAGCTCCGGCTTAAATTGAATCAGGATGAACAGCATTATGTTTCATTCACTGATACAGCTCTACAGAGATGTGGCCCTATATATGTGGACTTATAACAGCTATAACATCTCTCCGAACCTACAGCCAGAAAGACAGCAAAAATAACAGTCTTAAAAGTGTAAATTAAAAACATACATGACGTCCTTTCACGGGTTTAATTATTGTACCCATATCTCGCGTTGTGAGATACGACCGCAGGTGTAATTAACCTCTTGCACATCAGCCGAGCCAAGGCTAATCATAAACGCCCTGAATTATTCCCCATATATTGACTTCATAGGAAACACACGTGGCTCGCTGTCCCCGCTGATTTAGACGGTGACCATGTGATCGTGGAGGCCCGTACAGCACCCGCATGGCCCGGGCTGATGTGAGCCGGTGGAGGCTGCGATATTAATGGAGCAAAAGAGTTACATCACCCCGAGGAACCACCGCCAACTGCACTAGATTGAGCAGATGCGGAGGCATAAACCAAACAGGCTGAAACCAAATCATGGCGTGTGCAGCAGCATCACATTCAGTCATGGGACTGCGATGTATGAGTTATGTTTATGTCGGCCTATTTGTAAGGGAATCGTGGCTGGAGTCGCGCGGTGCGCTTGCGAGGATCGCATCAGTCGCGTTGCAGTCGTTAAAATGTCTCTCTACATCATCCACGGAACAACAATAAAGAATCGAAACAACCGCCAAGTTGCAGGGGACGAGTTTAAATCACATAAAAAGGGAGTACGCTCACATTAACAGCTATTCGTGTATGCATTTATAAAAAAAAAAGGACGTGTGAATGCGTTGCCTGTTCGCGGTTTGTCAGTCCGTCGCGAACTAAGTTCAGCACCGCGGACAGCTCCGCTCGCTCATTGATCACCACCGACCTTTCAGTAAAACAAGCCCTCTGCACAGGATCGCAATGCGCACTTACCGCCGATTGGCTGGGTCCGCACGCCACGTGACACCCTCACCTTCCCACGGCCCCCCCCCCCCTCTTCTCTGCGTGTGTGTCCAGTGAATGAATAAGTCTGCATGCATTCGAGCCACGTATTTTGTTTAAACAGAACGGAGATGTTACATGTCCTTATTGTTGTTGTTGTTGTTGTGTGCGGGGACGCGGGAAGCGTAAAGAGCGCGGGAGAGTTGTTCATTTGGGTTGAAGAATGGTATTTCTAGGATACGGGGGAGCATGCATGAGTTATCTTCATCATTGCACAGAAAGCCGCATTCTCCCCAACGTATGCAATGTGTATCTTCCCACTAATCTAATCGCCATTGAGGCTCGCCAGCAGAAATACGTTCAGGTTTAAGGAATCTGAAAGTCAATGGAACTTTTCACGGATGAACTCTATCTACAGAGGTGCTTCTCTGCTGTAAGACAGATGTATATATATCCTGCGCTCTGCCGCTTTGTCTCCTACAGCACAAAACCTCACTCTTCTCAACATGAGCACACAATAGATACATAAACGAGATAAACAACTAGGTATAAAACCAGATATAGATCTAAGATGACCCTTCATCACTGAGGTCCCCTGAGAGCCCTAAAGGCCAATTATTCATTCAGTGAGAGATTTATGATCATGGCACTATAATTAGTGGAAGTGCATTCATAAAAGTCCTACACACATTATTCATTCATGTTCTGAGTTAGTGTGCATGGAGCTGCTTGTTGCTCCATCTAGTGGTGGAAGTGACTGTGGAGACTGACACGTCTCACAAGAAGTGTGTGGAAACATCCGAGCCGACATGTGAACTCGTATTCACCAGTTTACAGGCAGACATTTGAACCTCTCCAGGACACATCCTTCCAAATAAGACACATGCAGAAGATAACTCGCACCCCATATAGTATCTTTTAATTTAAATTGTAGAATCAAGATTGAAATGGAAAACACATTTTGAGACATACATTCAAATATATTCATTTTTGCGCTTAAATATATAATGTAGACACGTAACTATCGATGTTAGATGACATCCGGCTGCTGCACCTTAGAAAGGGAACCGTAATGCTGCTTCACACTGTTACAGCCACCACTTTACTTCACCTGCACGTGTTTACCCACTGGACTGTGTTTTAATCAGTCGGACAAGGAGGTAGAATAATGTGGTGTGAGGAACGCAGCAAAGTGCTTCAAAGGCTCACAAAAAAAACACCTCTCAGGCGTTCAGCAGTAATTCTTCCCACTGGTCCATTAAGACCAAGTACCTCCTTGACCTTAATGGTTTCTGCCTGAAAAGATATTTTCATCAACTTTTTTTTCTTTACAGCAAGCATCCTCCATATTTGATTATTGCAATTTGATGTTTTGGAGATTCCACAGTGCTCAAACCCCTTTGCAGCATATCTCTTGTGTCACATGTAACTTTGTCAATATATATTTACGTAAATGTCGATGACATTTTTTTGTTTGATTGTTTTTTTCACAGGATGATGAGGTGAAATTGCTTTGGTTCTGTTTTGCTGGTTTCATGTGGCTTCAGCACTTCTTGTCAATAACATCAAAGCCTCAGATGACTGACCGCAAAGATGAGAACGAGTCAAAATGAAGATCAATAATCTAAATGATGCTAAATGCAACAGAGCACCAGAGCACAACAGACCGTGTTTAGTACAATACTCCATTTATGTGCTTATGCAACAAAATTGCATTATCACGTTTGTATTAAAAATAAATCAGCTGGCAGAGTCATGTGCTTCCTCTCTTTGTTTTGCTGAAGATCCTTTCCGACGCTTCTAGAGTTTGACCTCGTGGCCTCGTAATCGCATGAGGACACCATCTTGATTGCTGTTGTCTGACAACAGTGCCGTCCACTTTCAAGGCTCTGTGGATCAAATGACGATAATAAAGCCGATGGGGCAGTGCCTGTAAGGGCCTTGAGCAAAACAAAAGACCCCAGTAGCTGCTTGTTCTCGTTTATAAGAATTCCTTATACGAATAAGAACTTTTAACTCATTACTCTACAAATGAACCTTCAAACAATCAAAGATTTCAAAAGCAGCTCAAAATGAACCAAACAAGGTCACAACATCTGCTAAACACGGTCTCCATCCACCACAACGTAGCAAGAGAAAATGAAGTTGGACATATAGTGAGGATGTCACAACGAATCCCCAAAGTCCCCTTCAGGTGAACACAAACAGGGAGATGAAATAGTGGCGAGGAGTGATGCTGAGCTGGGACATGCATCTCTCGAGGGACATGTCCTAAGCTGGGGCCCAAGACAGAAGAATACCGTCGCAGCATTATAATAACTCGTGTTAAAATTCTATTATGAAATAAATAATAGGCAAGGCGTAAATGTAAGGCAACCAAGACCAACGACAGACATTAAATAACTTGATAAAAACAGGAAAACAGTTTCAAGTCTTTCTGGACGTTAGTGAGTGTAAATGTGAAATTGTTTTTTAAAGCTTCCCTCACAATCCCCAATTTCCACTGTGCTGGAAATTAATTGAACATGATTTATTTATCTTTCAGTCGTATGGACACTTGATACCTGACTTGAGTGAGAAACCATCCAGCGGCCTTCTGCACCTGTTTTCACTCCGATTACTCCTCTAATGTCCCTGACACCTGAATCCAGACGGCTTCAAGGCGCGCAAACACCTGACAGAAGAGCCGCTCGTGTCGAGCTGGAGATTTACTGGCAATCTGGTTTAAGTGCCACCCTCAAGGGCACGATGGCCGGGAATACGACGGGGGATTTTGGCTCTCAGGTTCCCACAATATTTTGATGGTAAATTAGTGTTGCTGGTTTGTTTGTGATGCATCATTTGCGTCATGAAGAATGGGCAACAAGCCTGCGTGCATGGGCAGATATTCACAGCTTAATTGGTCTGTCTGTCTTGTTGAGACAGTGTGTTTGCGGACTGCTGACAAAAGGACAAGCCCTGAAAAGAAAAGGGTGGATGATAAAATGAATGTAATTATTATGAGAAACAGTACCTGCAAAAGAGTATCAGTCGGTTTCCTGCCACTGGAGATTAGAGAAAGTGTCCCATGTGACTTTAATTTTCAGATTTTTGGTTTACATTTTCAAAGATAACATGAAAGTACAAATTAGGAGTTACAGACTGGATTAATGAGGGTTCAGCCAAACGTCTGACATCCAGCTTTGATCTTTTCTTTCCTGAATCCTATTATTAGTCCCTCTCATCATCACCCAGATGAGGAAGCATCACCTCCGCAGACTCTGGCAGCTGGATGGTTTGTTGAAACGAGTATTTCTGCACATCCGTCACAAGTGGCACAAAAATCTCAACATGAAGCTGCAGATCCCGTTCATCGTTTTCTTTTGTTGCTGTAAAGTCTCAAAGCAAGAAAACTAAACTTCAGTCAATAGCCAGCAGGAAGTTAGCGTAGCTTAGCATAAAGAACGGAAACAGGTTCAATCAAATATTCTCTGATGCCTTCGAAGAAATTGCTTCGAACAAGTTACATATGACTTTATTTTAGATTTTAACCTGTGGACAAAGTAAAGCCCTCTACGCATATGGTAGAACATTTTTGTTGGTCAAGAAACAGCCAGGCCAGCTTTCCCCCGTGCCTTCATGCTTCATGTCAAGCCGTGCTAGTTGGCTCTCACGGACAGTGAGGGTGACTGGTATCAATCCACTTATCGCATTCCCAAAATGACAAATTATTCACAACGTTTCTTCAGGTCCAAATAGAGTGGAAGAAAATAGTTTTTATTTGATAAAAAACAAGGTAAGAGGTTGAGATTTGAATGCTGTGGCCATCATACAACTGTGAATACAAAGAAGAATGGATGAAGTCAGCATTTCCTTCATTCATTTAGCACAACTTAAAAAGATACATTTGAAAAGTATTGATTTTTGTCGTGCAGACACACCGTTTCTTACGTAGTCGGCAGCGGTAAAGGAGTTTAAGCATCCGTTTGTGTAAGTCGCCCCGGCCTCGACTGCAGTTCACGCTCAGATAACGAGAATATATTAAGTGTGTGTCTGAGCCTGAAAAGCTCCTTGTAAAGTGAACCTGTGAGCCATCCATTATTCATTGTGATCAAGCGTTGCCATGACTCTCCGTCTACTTGGTGGGACCTTACGAGTTTGGCACGGCTCCTTGTGAGTGACCATTTCTGCTGCCAAGTGTGTGATGGCCTGAAAAAAACCCCGTCAGGACTCAGAAGTCCATGTAGAGAACATCTCATGAAGTATTTAAAGTCAAGAGGGGTTATGCTTTTTGGCAAACTTTCAATAATTGATTTAACTGAGATTTTGTACAGCAAGAATCCGGGGTTTTCCATGAAGAACTGTCTCATAGCTGGATGTTACTGAAAAAAAGGTAGTTTCATCAATATTTGACATAGTCAATCCATATTAAAAGAGGTGAAAATCTAAATTATTTCACAATACTAACTGTGATAAGATTAAATAAAATAAAAGCCCATTCGGCCCCGTGTATAAAGAGTATACATATTACAGTAACAATAAAAGGGCATTTTTTATCATTATAATGGAGAAATTAAAAACCGCTCCTCTAACAATGCTGAAGCAGCATTTAGCATTTATCTGGTTTATCGCGAGGAAGGTTATAGTAGGCTTCGATAAAAGAATACTCCAGTGATTAATGCTGCATTTCCATAAAGACGGCAGGTTGAAAAAGACAGATTAAAACTAAACATATATATCAGCACAACAATGAGCACAAAACACAAAGTTTCTACATTATTGAAACAGCATGTAATTGAACAGCATGTAATAGATGTGTAACAACAGCACAAGAGCTATTTGGTCAGCACAATATTCGAATGCCATTCCCACTATGTCCAAGTTTTTGCCAACCTTACAAGACCAACTAAGCTTGTTTTAACAATTTATTATTTTGTTTTTGAACTCATATTTAATGGAAGCGTAAAAGGTGTATTGTTTTCTTTCAAAAGTTACACAGTCATGTTTTGAAGTCCCGGATCGACGGAGTTCTTAGCCTGTTGAATACGAACAGAGTCACAGGGATATCTGTGATGTCTGGATATCCCGATTTGTGAACACAACTGGTGTTTGAGGGCACATCACAGCTTCTATCGGCCACTCTAATGTCTCCGGATAATTTGTGAGTCAATTACAGCTGTATTTATTCATACGACTGGATTTGACTGAGGAGCAGTTGCACCGTACCTCCTGCAGCATCTTGCCACCCATGTGAAAAGAAAGGGAGTTCTGTCTCCCCCCAGTGGATAACGGTGGGTACTGCGTCGTTCTAAAGGCATTGACTTTCGCCTTAAAATGCCTTAGTTAATGAAAAAACATCACCTTTGCATTGCCTTAATTAATCAGCATCAGCATTTTTTTGGTGTACTCTATTCTGCAGGTTTAACAGCTTGATACGACTTACTGCCAACAGCACAAAACACAAAGACAAACGGCAAGGGAAAGAAAAAGATCAAATGAAATAGAGGAATAAAGAAATTAAAGCATCAATCTGCTGTAAAATGATGTCTCGTTTTGTAAAAGTAGTTAGATGATGCAACTTGTTTGATATGAGTTTAAGTTTACACATGTATGAGATTTATTTTTATGACTGTTTATAACTGCTTCATTCCTGCAGACCGTCCTGTTTCAATTTCTGCCATTTCTGTCGCTGGCATCGGTGGCACATTTCAATATGGTTTCTGTGTATATGTGATGACCTGAGATGGCAGCTGTCTCTCATCTGGTCCCTCACTGTGTCCATTTTCTGCGTCGGGGGGTTATTAATTTGGTGGCTATAATTGGAGCCGTGTTGATGCTCTTGAGCCAGAGAGCCGTGTCCTTTGAGACAATCATTGCCGGACGGTTCCTCTACGGCTTCAATTCAGGTGAACCTGCTCCGACACTTTTGGCATTCCACACAATTTTAACTTCAAGCTTTTATACTTATTACAGTACCAAATTCCATTGATCATTTGCCAAAGTTTCTTTTTTTTAACGTTCCTGACTCTTCTTCAAATATATCATTTCCCTTTGCACGCCGTGGGATCAGTTTTGCTGCTCACACCATGTACCTCATTGAATGCTCCCCAGAGTGCCTGCGAGGGAAGGAAGCTGGGCGGGACACAGACGGCTTCCTCTCCTTTGGGAAGTTCGTCGGTCAGCTTCTGGGGATCAGGTGAGGTGGCCGGCGTCATGGACACCTGCGAGTCGAGTGCCGGGTCAGGTCGTAGGTTCAAATGACAGCTCACATGTCTCATAAAGACGCGTCGTGTCCTCTCTGTGGGAGGGCAACATGAATGAAGGTACATTGATGCATGTTGGGAAACACTTCAACGTCAAATCTTTTGAAAATAGAAGCATTCCAGGTGGATATAAATGATGTGAACTTAATAATAGTAGAATATTGTTACCAACATTCAATGTATTAAAACACTGTACAAGCCACTTCTGTTATTCCTGAGTACGGACTTTAAAGATAAATCCAATATTCGTTAAAGGGATATTTTGAATTTCAGCCAAAGGGAGGTACAATGAAGTCACGTAATGACACAAAAGGTCTTCCAGGCTGTAAATCCAGAAGGGAAGGCCGATACAGCCGATAGAAAACAGGCAGCCGAAATAAAAGAAAAGCCAAGAAAGAGCAAAGGCACTGGGCGAGTATGAATAATGAGCGAAGTGAGGAACTGAGCAGGAGTTCCGGCGGCTGCAGGTCTAACGAGGTGAAAACAATCAGGGCGGCGACGATGATCAAAATTGGCGGGAAAATGAGAAACCCCCCCAGAAATAGTTAAATATAAATAAGGACACAACCCTTAACCAGTTAATGCCTGTGTGTATTGATACTGCGATAGCTCATCCTCGCATGGTGACGTTGCCCTGCAGCAAGCTGCTCGGTACGCGGGAGAACTGGCCCTGGCTGCTGGCCTTCAACGGCTTCATGGCGTTTCTCCAGCTCTGCACCGCTGGCAGCTCATCACCATCATCGTTCCGTGAGTGACAGGCCATGACCTGAACAGTGTTTGTAGAACAATGCTAGTAGAATGTCAACTGAGTGTCTGGAGTGTTTTCATTATTTGATTTTGGACATGATGTTGAATGATTTGAACAGTCGAACCAAAACAATATGGGAAGTATCCCAGAGAGCCACTTGCGTTAGGCCAACATGGGACTCGGGCCGTGTGAGTCGGCCACCTCGGCAGCCTGTGTCTCATTTCGCTGATTCATATCTATTATAGTGCATTTTGTCTCCATATGTGATACCGTCTCCTGATGTACAGCTAGAGCTCCCCTCTGTGGTTAAATGCTGCACATGTACTGCAGTTCATGATTGTTGAGAATACAGGCAAACAAGTCCTCCTGATGAGAGGATACATGACGATGTCTGCAACACTGATCCTCCTCACTGTCAGCCTGAGCCTACAACTGAGTCACCACAAAGCAACACACGGTATTTCTGCATATTTAGATCCATCAAGTCGAGCAATTCCAACAGACCGTTTCATGTCCCTCAGGTGTCCTGGATGCTGTACTGCAGCATGTTCCTTATTTTCACGTATGTTTTTCTTTTTGTTCCCTCCAAAAACAAAAGTGTGCAAAGCGAAGCCTATAAATCTGAGGTCACTAACTGCCGCACAGCGGTACGGATCCGTCGACCCAGAAGCCGTCCCATCCAGACCCGGAACCAAGGCTAAAAAAAATATGGTTGTGATTTAAACGCGACAATAACTTTTCGACCGTGCAGCTTCAGTCGTCTTTACGCTGGTGGTTTGAAGCACAGACCAATAGCATTTGAGTTCAACCATCCCAATCGACCAATAGAGTCTTTGCATTCCAGGCCGGACGACAACGCCTCAAGACTGCAGACAGACGAGTGCGGTGGCGGCAAATGACAAATAAAAAGACGATAGGAAGGTAAGAAAGATACATTTTAGAAAAAGACGAGTGAGACGGGGGAAAGCGAGAGAAAGAAACAGGTGAGAAGAATGAGGAAGAAATGGACAGCGAATGTAGAGCATTTAATCCTTGATGGACGGACTGGTTTCGGTTCATACTTCCCACTGCAGCACTAAACCAGAGTCTCATGGGCGTGGAACCCGTTGAAACGCCATCATGAGGCTCAATGAGCTCCTCCACGTGAGGAGGAGAACCTGATGCATTAAGACTAGGTTTAACATCCTGGACAAACTAGAGCTTAATTCTCCCACTTAGCAAAAAAGTGGGAGGCTGGATGTATATATTCTATTAAACTGTTCAATTGTTAAAATGTGTTTGGATTCATTATTTATAATTTACTGAGACTGACAAGTCCAAATGTGAAAAGGGGACATTTAAGTTCACATTTAACTTATTCTTCCCGTTATTTTGATTTTTTCTGAATTGAAGCACTTAATTTGAACATGCAGAAATGTTCACATTTTATTTATTATTATTTTTAAATGCAGCCCTACTTTTATTTAGTCGAGAGAACATTATTTATATTTGCAGCCACACATTTATGTTCAGTTCTTTGTTACATGACAATAAATATTGTCAAAAGAGTTTTAGAATTTTACTGAATCCATTTGATTTGTCAGTTGTGTATTGATTACATGCAAATGCTGATACAACTAATAACTAATCTATAACTAATCACACTAAATAGTCACATTATGATCTTCCGGACCTTTGCTTGTAGAAATTTTCTCAAACTGGAACCCTTTCACATTTTAGTTGAAGACCCCTGCTATAAATCATATGGGGACAAAATAAACCGCTGTTCTTCAGTCTCCACTTATTAATCAAAGTCTTTCCTCTCCTGATCCTGTTGCCGTGGAATGCGCACGCAGATGTAGTTTCATTAAGAGAATGTGTTTAGGATTCAATGAACACGTTGTTGACAACGTTTATGCGGTGCACCTTTAGGTGCAACTAAAAGAATCTTATCTGCCATGTCTTGCTTTGTGAACACCCAGCGGGACTGACTTTCATCGGGGAACTCCCGGCTATTACGCAGGCGTGCTGCCACGGCACATGTGCGCGCCGCTGATAACACAATCTGCACGCACAACGCTGAAAGTCTTACATGACAAAGAGGCTTGAAGCATCTCCATTTACATCAGCAACCAGCCACAGGGAGGAGTTGCAGCATGCGTATAAAATAGCCACAAACACGCACATCCACGCCATCATATTTTTATTTCCGCGGTTACGTTTGAGCTTTGCGTAGAATCTGAAGGGACGCCATGGACTCAGATCCCAGCGTCTCCCCTGATGCGCCCAAGGTGAAGAGGACCTTTGACCAAATGTGAGTCCATTTCATTATGGAATACACTAGTGAGCATTTTTTGGTTGAAAAGACGTTGCACAGTGTGAACGTTTTTCGACGTCTGTTTATACCCCATTTCAACGTGATTTTTGAAACGGTAATGTTTCGCACTGTCACAACGTCGGGCCATAGACGTCTTTTCAACGGAAAAATTGCTCATTGGCAACTTACAAGTTACATACTTTGTCACAGTTGTCATGTTACACATTATTTTATTAATTTGTATGTATTATAAATATAACACTATACATATAACACTTGTACTAATTAAAAACAATAACTGAGTCACTTGAATTGGGATAGTATACCTGAAATGAGCTCCATCTCAGGCATCCACACTTGGTAATTCTTTGGGAATAGGGGAAAACAGCAGAGAAGTAGGTGTGTACAGTATGAACAACTTAAAGATGTCCAGTGCATTCAATTCCTACGACAGAAATTATTCTAATATTGATAGTAGTAAGCAAGGTGTAAGCCAGGACCACTGCAGGGACAACCTCCATCCACAGAAACCAGTGAGGAGGGAAAGCACAAAGACTTCAGGGAAAAGGCAAAGTTGGTAATTTGGGTTTATGGTGACAGTAAAGTGACTAATAACAATAATAATAATAATAAAAGCAGCAAGTCTGTTTGAACCCCGATTTATATATTGCTACGTATTACATTATAAACAAGATAACAATCCATCTGCAACGTATGGGATTTCTGGAGTAACATTTCCAGGTATATTACACAGTATCATACTTCGCTTTAAGCACGCAGTAACGTACAATGTTTTGTCACTCTTGTTTACGGACCACAACTTGTTATATTCATTTTGACCCGGTGCTTTAAAATCGTGTATTTTCGATAGGAAATGGGAATGGCAGTAATATGTTATGGGTACAGCAACAACCCAACGCATTAGCAACACCAAACACACGAAACGTATTCTGGGATGTTTACTTTTGGTCCAGGTCAACATGCTGAACGCTAGCATGCTCCAAACTAGCATGCTAGCAAACTACTTGCGCTAACGCTAATTAGCTCACCAAAAACTACAGTCTTTCCCGAGTGGGCAGCACAAGTAAAACAACTGGTTATGGTTGCAGGTGCGCTTCATCCAAACACTCACGTACTTACAGAGTATTGGAGCCGGTAGTCGTGGTTCTATGAGTCCCGTTCATGTCGCTCTGCTGCCGCACAAACTTCGTCTCGTGCTGCATCCGGTCGAAGCGCTGCATGCGGCTAAGAACTCGCGCATGCGCGTTACAGACGTAATGTTTAATTACTTTGTCCTAAAAGCATCTTGTTAACAGCACACCGTCTATAGTTCCACCTTTATGACGTTTTAAGAGAAATATTAAATACCTTGAAATCGTGTCTTTTGCGTGGACCAAATTACCCACCAGTTAATAAATTATTATGAAAATGTTAATTATATTATCGTCTCTCACATCACATTATCAACAAATGTACGTTTTTTTTAGCTAGTTGATGTTTCATCCACTTTTTAGCCGGTTGAAAAGACGTTGAAATGAGGTCTTAGACGTTTTAATGAGACTGAAGCCAGCAGCCGCCCTCCTGCAACATAGAACACACCGAAATATCAATAACAGCTCAGCAGCAACAAACCCTTAAAAAATTATTGTAATCATTATTTATTATAATTATTTACAGCAACTGTATATCATGAGCTGTTGGGGAAGGATGGAGGCCTGCACAGAGAGGCCTCTCAGCATCTGTTTTCTACCGTGAGGAAAACTAACTCACGGAGATGCAACACATCGTGACACTAAGAAATCCACAAAAAGTACGTCTATGGCAATGACACCTTTAGTCTGCGGACTTCAACTTTATGTTGGTTTTACTCTCAGGGTGTTCGTCAACAGAAGTGTGACCATGGAAGACATCCAGTGTTATGGATTCGACATGGACTACACCATGGCAGGTATGAAACAGAAAGACCTTTGTGTGTGTAAACTGCTGTGACACAATGACGAGGAGGCTTCAGATTCTCTGTCATATTCGATTTTTTATTTATTAAGCTGCACAAGGTGCTCTGACTTTAGGCTACTGATGCTTCGTTATGTGTGTGTGTGTTTGTCTTTTGCAGTGTACAAGTCTCCTGACTACGAGAGCCTTGGCTTTGAGATGATAAGAGACAGAATGGTGTCTGTCGGATACCCTCACGAGCTTCTACGCTACACATACGACCCCAGCTTCCCCACGCGGTCAGTTTAAGTAGTACTAAGCAGCACTAAGAAGCACGCAACAATGAAATAATGCATTAATCTGAGGTACGGCTGCTAAATCAGGGTCAGTTAGCGAGCAGTTAAATCAACACTGGGAAAACCAGAGAAAACAAAACCAAAAATTCTGATTGTAACACAAGCTGTTTTCAAGAATCTTTCAAGCAAAAATGCTAAACTCAAACACCAACTTGAGCTTTACGAAATGATGACTGGCATGTTTCACTATTTCAATCATTTACCCCAAGTATAATCATCAGGTCGGTTGGCAAATAAAAGAATCACAAGCTGCAACACTCAAATACACATTGTTTCACAGTTCTTCTTCAACTGTCTGTTCAAGTCGTGATGACCCCCTTTTATTCATTTATTTATTTATTTTTCTCCTACGCCAGCGGTTTAGTGATCGACACCGCGTTTGGGAACCTCCTGAAGGTGGATTCAAATGGGAATATTTTGGTCTGCAGTCACGGCTTCCGCTTCCTCAAAGGGTAAAGAATATCTACCAATAAGAGATTACAGATGAGAACAGCTGAATCATTGTGGTTTCACTTGTTGTCAAACAACAGCAGTGAACAATCAATCGGTTTATCTAATTCGGTGGGTTTAAATTAGTTTAAAGTCACCCAGTCCGCTTGTGTTTGCGTGTTTATTTATTGTTATGTTTGTGTTCCCCAGAGTCGACGTTCACCTCTACTACCCCAACAAGTTCATCCAAAGAGACAACACCGACCGTTTCCACACTCTCAACACTCTCTTCAATCTTTCCGGTATGAAATGCAGCTGAAGAAATCTTGAATTTGACACAACATTAAAAGTTTGCATCTTAGAACTCTTGAGGACCACAAACAGATGAAATACTCACCTGCAGTAAAAGGAAATCAACTTTAAAGTGTAATTTACTGTTGTTTTCGTGCACTCTGCAGAGACTTACTTCTACAGCTGCCTTGTGGACTTCTTCACCAGATGCAACAGATACACAAAGTGAGTGGACTTGTTTGCTCGTTAAAAGCTTGACTATTCCTCACTTTTTCTAAATGGACTCTAAATGAACCGCTCAATTAGTTGTCAGACTTCCACCAGACTTTTATCTGCTGCTGTTGTATCTCCCCCAGCCTCCTGAAAGGTTTCCAGCATGGCGACTTGTTCATGTCCTACAGAAGCATGTTCCAGGACGTCCGAGACACGGTGGACTTCATTCACGACACGGTGAATTTCATTCATTCCCCCCGCCAGTTGTTGTTGTTTGTGGGATCAGACTTGGTCTCTAACAGTTCTTTTTCGGTGTTTGTGCGCTTTAAAGGGAATCCTGAAGGAACGAACGATCAAGAACATGGAGAAATACGTTATCAGAGATGTGAGTAAACCGACCGGATGTTGCACCAAAATGACTAAAAGCATGTTTGAATAATCAACAGACGAATGTCTATTTCACAGCCGAATCTCCCTGTGTTCTTGAGCCGGATTAAAGCTGTGGCGAAAGTCTTCCTCGCCACCAACAGTGACTACAGCTACACAGAGGTGAGCTGCTACTCCATTACTCCTATTATATGAAAGTAAAGTAAAGTTGACACTCAAAACGTTTTTCCATCTTCCTCATCAAGGCCATTATGAACTATCTGCTTGAAAATAATCCCAACGTAAGACAATTTGATGTTTTTCTTTGAATAACCAGAAAATGACAATTTCATTGAGCATCATTAACATCACTCTTCGTCACCAGGCCGGAAGGGAGAAAAGGTCCTGGCGCTCCTTCTTCGACCTCATCGTGGTGGACACCAAAAAGCCTCTGTTCTTTGCAGAGGGGACAGTGCTGAGACAAGTGGACACGGTATGAAAGAAAAAGACTAATTTCAGTACGATGCTTATATCCACGGGCGGGGTTTCAATAATGTCGCATTTTGGGACGCAGGACACCGGAAAGCTTCGGATCGGGACGTACACCGGCGACCTCCATGCTGGAACCGTCTACTCCGGAGGTGAGATTCCATTAACTGTTTGGCCGTCTCATTTCTTCTGGAGCAGAGGTCTTCAACAGGGGGTCGAGGTACTGCCGGGGGGTCGCAAAATTGTTTTGGTTGATAAGACAATTTTCTTTTCTTTTTTTCAACCAATTTTTTCCTGTCATGTCTTCAGAATCAGAATCAGAAATTTGTATTTATTTATTGTCTTTAAATACACATTAACATGAATCCAACGCAAAGCCCAAAAATAAAAGATGTTGGACCAAACTCCATAGAATAGGGGGTCCCTGCTCCATCTCGCCATCAGTTTGGGGGACCTCGGCCTGAAAAACGTTGAAGACCCCTGAAGGTCTGGAGGTTTGGACGCAACGCATAAACAAACAGCAGAGACCAGACAAAGCGCCGTCTCTCGCAACGCTGACATAAATTGACACGGATCAAACCTTGCGTCTCGCAGGTTCTTCGGACCTTATCTGCGACCTGCTGGACGTCAAAGGCAAAGACATCCTCTACGTCGGCGACCACATCTTCGGCGACATCCTCAAATCCAAGAAGCGCCAGGGCTGGAGGACTTTCCTCGTGGTGCCGGAGCTCACCAAGGAGCTGCAGGTGTGGGACGAGAAGAAGGGTAAGAAGGAAGGCAGACGGGGTTGTTGTTGCCTACTTCAATCCCTTCGAAACTCTTGACGACTGTCTTGGTTTCACAGGTCTGTTTGAGGAGCTGAAACGTCTCGACGTCTTCTTGGCGGAACTCTACAAGTGAGTTACCCTGGTCCACTTACTTAAACAGCACTTATCGATCACGATTTGTCAATTATACCGTAACAGTATAAAACATAATACCATGTTTGGTCATTAGTTAAGTATGATTCATCATTTGTAAATCCTCACCTGCCGCAGTGCATGAAACCGAGGCATCATTGTGTAATAGTGATAAATAATTGATTCATTCTGAGATATTTTAAATATTCTATTTACAATGTTATTGCCATTTAATCCAGATGCTCACTTTCTAGATCTATGAGACATTTACACGAAGCGGCGACTGAATTGTTGTTCTTTTGCCATCTGCAGGCACCTGGACAGCGGAAGTCAAGGGTGTCCCGACATCCGGACTATTCAGACCAGAATGAAGGTGAGCTCAATTTTCAAGCTCTTTGTTTTCTCTGGTTTCTGGAATTCATAAACACCGGGTTATTCAGAGACTCCAGGGGTTCAACACACAGCTTCAATGGAATATGAATTGAATATTGATCCAGCACATCTACACTTCACTCAGACGAAGGTTTGATCGTCTATTACATTTCACCCTTTTTGACACCTTTTGAAAGCCCAAATTACTGCATGAATGAATAAATTGGTGAATTAGATCATTAACAACTTTAGATCGCTGGTCCCTTTCCTTGTTCTTGTCCTGTCCCGCCGCCCCTTTCTCTCTCTGCCTCCATGTTTGCAAAGTTCTCCCAATAAACTGTTGCCAGTTTACACTTCTAATTAAGTTCTCGCTGCAGGTTGTTGTCAGTCGAATGTGGTATTTTAATGTTTTGGAATTGAAAATGATGATGTGCAAAGCAGACATTGTGTGCGTCATTCAGGAAACTGAGACCACCTAGTGCTTGTTGTGTGTGTCTGCAGGTGCTGACCTACAGGATGGACATGTCTTACGGCCAGATGGGCAGCCTGCTGCGCAGCGGCGCCAGACAGACGCTGTTTGGCAGCCAGCTGATGCGTTACGCGGATCTATACTCCTCCAACTGCATCAACCTGCTGCACTACCCCTTTAATTACCTCTTCATGGCTCCCCCAGTGCTGGTCAGCCCCCCAGGCCCTCTCCCACCCACCTGCCCACTGCACAGATAAACCAAACCTGTGTTCCATCCTAACTGAATCTCCCTCGTGGACTCTTTCAGATGCCCCACGAAGCGGCGGCGCAACACGCGGCCGACGTCGCCTCAGCAGAGCTCGCTCGCACCAACAACACGGCCATGATGGGCAGGAACTAAGGTCTGCATCGGCCTGTTTTCAGAAGGAGAAGAAGTGTGAAGAGGAAATATGCAGATGACTCCTTTAATCGACGCAGGTGACCGTTTGCTCCGGCGCTTGTAGAAACGCAGCAATATGACCAAAAAGAAGGACTAACATCCTGCTCGACCTGGTGAATGTGAAGTGCTGTGTCATGCAACAAATATCTGGGAGTTTTAAAAGAAAAACACTGTTTCAGAATTACTGTATATAACAGTGTTATTATCTTGTTTGCTGTAGGGGTGCAGTGTGTACTTTTGATGTTTTTTTGCAGTGATTTTTAAGGTGTGACTTTATTTGTTGTTTCTGAATAATAGGAATAAATCATTCATACTATTCCTTTTCATGGAAATATACCCAAACAGGCTGGGGTATATCCCATTTGGGAATATCCGTTATTTTAACGGACATCCTCACTTAATACTTGTTACCCCAGCTATTTAGTAGCTTTTGGGGGGGGGGGGGGGGGTGGGGGCATTTATTTTGCAGTAGGTCCAATTTAAATTGGTCCCAGGGAGACTTGTGGATTAACCAGGATACCAGTTTGTAAAAACAGCTTTTCAAATGCAATGTTTCAGCATCATAAATTCCTTTCCTGTCTATTTTAACAGCTAGAAATCTAAAGACACGGCAATTTAAAACATGAAGAAATAAGATGTTTTTTTTACTACATCTGCTGTCCACTGGATGGCAGAGAATCACCTCTCCAACAGACTCCGCTCAGCCCCATCGGCCGTGTGAGCTGGCTGAAAACCATGAACAAGTGAAAAACTGACTAAACAAAGATCTGTCTCTCAACAAATTATAACACAAATTACTGTTTAAACTTCAAAGCATTTACTAGAAAAAAAACGTAAGAAATGTGTGTTTAAAAGCAACGAATACGGCAGTTTATCCACTGGCAGGATGAACTGCTGCTTGCTTTTGAATTAAACTAATCTTATTTTGGCCTTGTCATGTCCACAGACACCTGTGAGGTACTAATTGCACACACACACACACACACACACACACACACACACACACACACACACACACACACACACACACACACACACACACACACACAGTATCTCTCACTTGTTCTCCCTTTTGGCTCTGACGGAACTGAACCTTTATCAAGAAAGAGCCGAGTGGAATTTGTGTCTCTCTCTGGTCGCTGCGGTATCAGTGCTCGCATGTGATCACCAAGAGGAAAAAGTGACGGTTGCTCTTGCAGGGCTGAAGAGTGCGTTTCCACTGAAGCTGTGTTATAGATGTGACCCGCATCTCACTCTGGAGAGAAAGTAATACAAATGTAGCATCGTTGTCATATCTGATATTGATGAAGCCTCCGCTGATGTCGGGAAAACACCTCAAACTTTGGCTTAAGCTCCTGTGAGGGAAGATCCTGAATTCCATTAATTGTGTTTTCTAAAGTGACAAGAATTCAAACAAGAAACAATTTTTAAATGCATACCGTTCTTTGACATGAGTCATATAAATGTGTGAGAATATGTTCTTTTTACAAGTCTGCATTCATCTGTCATGTGTTATTTTCTCACCTGCTCTCCACTAGATCACGTGTATTTACTACTTCTCCACATAAACTGATGTTTTATGAAACATATAGTAACGCAAACTAGTCCACATGTGATTTAAACTGATTCTCTCCTAAGCGTCCTGTCCTGACGGCTCAGCTATAGAGTGGAGACGTTGAGGACGTCTGATTTGAGGCTGCGTGTCTTCGTTTTATCTCGTGAAACCAAATTGTTGCAGAAACCGTAGGAAACGACTTGTAGAGCCGCTCCTGACAGACTCACACAGACATTTAACGTACATTTACTGTGATGTCAGAGCCGCCGTCTTCTCTCATGCAGCGTATGAAGAAGTGTGACAAGGATCAGCTTCTCTCTGCTGTGACTTAGTTTCCCCCACGTGTCACAGTGCAGAAATGTCTGCTTACTTTAAAATAATACAGTTTAATCACACTTTTGATGATGGTATTAAACATGAACTAGGAAGAGGAGGCTGTTTATCAGCAATGTAAAGGATTTGTGGTATTAATTTCCACAGAGACGCATTTTCAAAATTGTACATTTTCTGTAGCGTTACATCCAACAGGCATATTGATGAATGTGACATTATTCTTTTTACAATTTCTCAAAATGCAGTTTGAACTTTATGAGTTCCTCAAGGTTTCAAAATAAATTGGCCCGTGTTCGAATAACGTTTGCCTGCACATAATTGATGTATTGAGCTATGAAATCAGACTATTGAGTTTAATGAATCAAAACTGATCTGAGAACTGTAACGATGCACTCATTCACACTTAGATGATATATTGCTGAACCTAGTGGGCCGTTGTTAGGCCTGGAATTCAACAATATAATAGAACTTTAATAACATTTTTATATTCTTGTTTTTTTCATTTTTCTAATTATTTAATGTAAAAGTCAGTTAGGCCTCAAGGTTCCTGATTGGCTATATCTGTGTCGCTTTCTTTTAGATCTTATAACCAAACAATTTATTTATTTCAAACATGACCTTTTATTTGTCCCCCCCCCCCCCCAAAAAAGTGAGGAACTGAAAACTTTAATTGAATCATCTTTATTCAGATAAAGGGTGTCAGAGAACAGTAACAGCGGTTTGTCCCTCATGAGGAATGTCACATAAACCACATTTACTTTTATTAAAAACACATTTAACTGATATACATTTTACGTAAAAATCATGTACTTGAATGACAGTTTTGTTTTTCCTTTTTAACCATCGTCTAACAGCGAATCAATCTGTGCCTTTAAAAAGCGTAATTAACTACCGTGTAACGAGAACACATCCGCCCAAGGACAATGGGGTCAATGACACGTCTCGAAAGGAAAGAAACAAAAACATTTCCTGCGCAGTTTCTTTTAATGCACTTAATGAAATGCAGATGCCGGTATTTCTGCACATTAAGAAGTGGCTGAGGAGAAAGCGCGGCTGACATGTTGGGTTTTCGTTGCAGGGTACTTGCTGCTCTACGCAGTGAGATAACTGCAGAAGCACCACCGTCCCCCATTCCACACATTCCAGGATTTCCCAGCAAGCATTGCAAGCAAGCCTAAACAAGTCACGTTCTTTACTCGGGGAGAATTTCACACAGTCGAGTGGCTGAGGTCTCCTTTTTGCCTTCCCCTCAAGAGTGCAATCACATTAATGCACTTTTCCATCTTCTAAAAATCAAAAGAACACCTTTTTTTAATTTTGTTTTTAAAATCCACACAGACACACCGGCTTTTACACCACAAACCACTTCCACCTGAAACAAGAATTTGCAGCATGTACCCGAACGAGTTTTGTCCTCTTTCGTTTTTTTGGACATAATGACTTATGTCCTCCCGTTGCACCTCGCAACAGCAAACTGGACCGTGTGGTTAAACATTCCCAACCGGGGGGGAGGGGGAGGGTCCACCGACAGTCATCAAAACAAACAAACCTCTTTACTCGCTTGCCTTATGGTCCAAACACGAGGCGCGCGCACAGGAGCAGGGACACCTAATCTCAACACAGAAAGGAAAAGACACACAGAGGAGAAGGCACAAGGCGAAGGGGGGGGGGGGCTTGCTCCCTACATTCCTCCCTAACCTCCCCTCCCCCCGTCGACCTGCTGCAACGGAGGATGCTCAAAAACACACATTGACCTCACCCGCCCACTTTTTTTCCCCCTTCCCTTCTCCATCTGCTTATTTTACCACGACGCACACCGTCGCACACCGACGCAGTGTTTGGCGTGACGACAAAACGACAAACAGGTGAAGACCAGGAGCGCAGCGGAATGGCCGCCGCTAAGAAACGAACGACTGTGAGGTTGTCGGAGAACGCTTTCGCTAGAACACTCTTTAAGATCCAGCGAAAAGTTTAGGGTAAGTCGTGACCTATTGATCGGCCCTCCCGGCGGTCACTTCGCATAATGAGCCGTGTTGTAAAATAAAACATGGCCGACTGATTACTTCAAATCAATGCAGCCACCACACGAGATGGACAAAACAAAACAGAAAATCAATCCCACGGTTTGGCCAAAGGCGTTATGCCATTTGTTCTCTTCCCTTCGGAAAAAACTGGCGCCCGTTCGACGCGCTCGTGTCCTGTGAAATTTCGGTCGCGAGCCGCTACTCGGCCTCCAATGTGCGTCGACTCTTCTGTGTAAACACAGAAGTGGGTAAACAGTTTAGGGTGGAGGGGGGGTTAGCGCCGCGCCACCACCTGCTGTCAGTCATCGGCTCCACTCTCCACACAAACCCATTTGAAACGGGGCCCTTTAGCAGCAGTTTAGTGTGAGCTGGGGGCCAAATGCTATGACAATACTATTGCACTGCTAGAATGGATGGTACAGTAGTGCAACATTGTCAAAGCAGCTGACCTCAGCATGTGTCAGCGCGTGGACGTGGGGACGGCCCGTCCTCGCTGCCAAACTCCAATTGCATTTAAATAAGCAACGGTGCTGTTTGTTTGGATGAAATGGGGTGGGGGGGGGGGGGGGTTGACAAAGAAACGAAAAAAGAAAGACGTGGGTGTTGACATTTTAATTGAATTGAAGTAAGCGTGCTAAAAACCGGAAATGTAAAGTTCAGATCACGTGTTTAACCGTTTAAATCTGCTACAAAATAAAGAACAGCAACAAATGGAAGATTGTTTTTGGGCCTGATGATTCCATGTTTCAGGTTACGTGTGGAGGCGTTTCAGGTGTGTCTCTGTTCCATCAGCCAATGCCCTTTTAATATTGCACTGCTCATCTCAATGTCCAGTAGTGCAAGAGGAAAAGGGCAGTGGACAACAACACCAAACACCATCAGACTATAAACCCCCAGAGTGTACTTTTATTTTGGAAGCATCAGAACTTGTTAATCAAACTGACAAAACAAAAAAACAGCCTTTTTTTTTACCGCACTACGACAGAGGGACATTTTCAGTTTTAACAATCTAACCGTCCAGAGGTGGAGTTTAACTTCCTAAATTAAGCAGCATTGGTTACTCTCTCCCTGGGAGACTGGGTACTTCCCAGCATGTGGGCTCATACTATTCTCTCCAGTGAATGACGTGCATTCTAATTTTGGGGGAGACAAGAGAGGAGGGGAGGAGGAGGAGGGGGGAGGCAAACTCCCAAAGACTTTCGATAACTACACGTTGCCCTCTCCGTACCTGATCTATCAAATACATGATGTACTTTTAGTAGTAGAACGCACGCAGAGCACCGCCGCATTTAAACAAATACAAAACACAATTTTTTCAACCAAAAACTTAAAAAGTGCATCTCCCCTTTTTCCGGGGAAACGACTCAACGAGCTTGTAGCAACACATCAAAGCCTCGAAGGTCC